CCGCGCTTCTGAGGCTTTGCTCTGGCAAAGCCTCAGAAGCGCGGGAACCCGCCTGGTGCCCCTGGTCTGCTGGAGACGGTCTCCAGCAGACCAGGGGCACCGGAGCAGCTTACGAACGGGGCTTTCTCGCCCCGGAGCTCGCAGGTAGCAATCCGCTACCTCGACCTCCAGGGCGAGAAAGCCCCGTTCGTAAGTGCGGATCCGACATAAGTCGGATCCGCATAAGTCGGGGACTGCCTGTACACAAATTGCATATCTTATTTCAATCCTATTTTGAAATAGCTTATTTCGTCATTTGGCACGGTCTACACAGAGCCAAATTTCGAAATGAAGTGCTATTCTGAAATGTCCCATGCTCCTCATAGAATGAGGTTTACAGGGACCTTGGAAAAGTCCAGAAATAGCATTGCAATGTAGATGTGCTTTTTGTAATCTGAGGACTTGTCTGTTAGAGATAGTAACATTTGAAAATTAAAAAAAAAAAGTTTAAGGGCAGCTGCCAGCCAGCAACTCAGGAGACTGCTGCAATTGCAAATGTGAAACATTTATGTAACATTTAAGATTTAGTTTAATAAAATATACGTGCTATTGTGTTTGTGTTGGTGATTTAGTTTTTATTCCGAGTGTACTACTACTGCATCTGCAGCTTGACTCAGATAATGGAGCAAGGTTCCCTCTAAGCTGCATAGCAGCACATCTTCACTGGTGCTTAATCAGACCCGCCCAGTCAGAGGCTCAGGGCTCCTTCATGGACCTGACTGACTGGGCGGGGCTGATTAATCACCTGTGAAGCTGTGCTGCAACCCAGATAAGAGGGAACTCAGGAAATAGTACATAATACTCATTACCAAAACGAATAAAAATCAAATTATCTAAAAAAAAATGTACACAAAGCATACCCTCTTAGATGTTGTAAAATGCTACAAGAAGCTGTAAATTAATCTATTTTAGTCATCAGATTTGCAGTTGTTTGAAGAAATGTGTGAAGTATCAGTAGGAAAATTTAAATCAATGAAATTTTTGGTGATTTAAATCACAATTTAAATCAATTATTTAAATTATCCTGATTTAAATCAAAC